AAATTTTAAACTCGACTCAATTTGACTTGACTCGATTTTAACTCGATTCAATTTTGAAAAAAAAATAATAAAAAAAAATGAAAAGAATGATTCAGGTCATTGTTCTTCTTAAACAATTTTTTTTATTATTTAAGTTAAACGATTTAGGTCATCATTTTTCTTGAATGATTTTTTATCATTCAAGTTGAACAATTTGGGTCATCATTCTTCTTGAACGATTTTTTATCGTTCAAATCAAGCGATTCCTTATTGTTCTTCTTGAATGATTTTTTTATCATTCAAGTCGAACGATTCCTTATTGTTCTTCTTAAACGATTTTTCTATCGTTCAAGTCGAATGATTCCTTATCATTCTTCTTGAATGATTTTTTTATTGTTTAAGTCGAACGATTCCTTATTGTTCTTCTTAAATGATTTTTTTATCGTTCAAATCAAATGATTTCTAATCGTTCTTCTTAGAACGATTTTTTTATCGTTCAAGTCGAACGATTTCTTATCGTTCTTCTTAGAACGATTTTATCATTCAAGTCAACTCGAGTCAACTTGAATCAAGTCGAGTTAAATATTTAACTCAACTTGAATTTGGCTTGACTCACAAATCATCAAGTCAAAAAAACATAAACTTGACTTGATTTGAACTCGACTTGGCTTATCTGACTCATGAGTTAACTCGACTCATCCAGAACTCTACTGAGGGCTTTGCAATTTCAAGATTGCCAGGTGTAAAACCAACTATATGTCTTGCAGGATAGAGCTACATGTGAAAAGGTTTGAAGATTCCATTTGCATGTGCTTTTATAGAACTCTTGGCATCATACAACAATACTAATTATGCCTCATACTTCCTTATCTTTTTCCCAGTAAGATATAAAGCATGTAGGGATATGTGGAAGTTCAGCCAACATTCTCGCAAAAATTTTAAGGTATGTATATGCTAGAAGTTGTGTATATACGGGAGTGAGCGAAGTGTAAAGAAAAATACTCACTATGGGTTCATAAATTTAGGAAACTTGCTACATAATGACTAATAACAATGGCATCGAAATCACTCTCAACTGCCTTATCATTCCGACGGGGGATTTTAATAATGTCCAATGTAATGCGGTACACCAAACGATTATAATTAATACAAGTCAACTGGTCAGTGTTCTTATAAATACAATTAGAGGCAGATTGGAGTTAGAAGATGTTCCTTTAAGCCTTTATCAAGTTCATCCCGGGAGTATTCAAGAAATGAAAATGGATCCTGCGCATCTGATTTCTAAATTTTTTGGTCGACAACCTCGGGCAGAATTCTTTCATGTTACCATATATTCCCGTTAATAATTCACAGTATCATGTAGCGATATTTTCGCAATTTTTATGTATTGTAAGCAAATTATAATTCGCTTCCGGCAACGTTTTTTTTTATTTCTTAAATAAAGCATATATTACGTTCTTGTCGTAAATCTTGAAAAATGTTATGTAATGATGTGGGGGTGTATTTACTCCCGATCACCATGCAATATCGGGACTATAAATCTAACATTTTTATTCGAACCAGTCTAGCGTTCTGGTGATGAGTCTTCACGGTTAGGGAGGCGCAGAGATTAGGCGATCGTTGCACCTATGATGCGATGTGGCTGATCGCACCATCACATGACTTCACATGTTCTTTGATATTTAAGTGGCAAAAAAAAATCGCGTTTTGCTTTTTCACTAAAATAACTAAAATGAGGGTAAAACTAGATCCGCAATCCTTACGCAATCGTTTACTAGTACAAATAATAAAAGAAAAGGGAATTACAGTTTCCAAAGTGAAAGTCCGAGATTGCAACAGCTTTTTACGAAGAACTTAAATTTCGTCACGACCAACGAGACCATGCAGAACAAGTTTTTAGAAACACGGTCGAATGCCTTTTAAAATATCATGACAAGAAAGTAAAAAAATACGCGAAACATTTGAAGAGCGATGATTGTCATTTCCTTACTTTACAAGTTTGTAATCAATACTGGAAAAGACTTGCAACTGAACACTATAGAGAGGTATACAATATATTAGATTTAATACTATTTAGTTTTATATTTTCCACGATATTTTACTCTTTTCTTTATTATAGGAAGGGAATCTTTATCAACTTCAACATAGAGCCAATGCAGAAAAGAGAGTTATGGAATTTGATACTAAAATTGGGCAAAAGTGGGTAGATGACCTTGACCATCAAAACAAGAGAAGACGCCGTGAAGCCAGTCCTCTGGAAAAATATTCTGATTACGATAATGTCAAAAGGTCAGTGATAATATAAATCAACATGATTATCTGTCTTTATTGACTATCTATCTGGTGTCTAGCCTAGTAGATGATGATGTAGGAGACGAAAGCGAAAACGAAAGTGAAAATGATAACGATGAAACTGGCAATGAATCTGACAAGAGGTTTACCTGTGTTTGTAAGTAATAAATTCATGCGGTGAGATTACTTATGTCTTTATTTTCTATTTTTCTCATAAGGAATGACATAGAATAGAAAGTGAAAGCGAAAGCGAAAGCGATTATGATACAACTGATGATGAATTTGACGAGAGGTTTATTCCCTTATTCTAAGTTATACTTTTTCTCGAATTTATACTGAATTCCATTTTAGTTATTGCACAGCTGAAATTATCAATATTTCCGAACACGAGGCAGTAGATCAACACAGTGAACTGAAGAAATGGGTACTTGAAAATCGAGTTCCTGACATAACTGATAAAGAAAAGGATACAATAGACAACTATGTATTAGATGTATTTGAGGTACATGTATTAACAGTAGTATCACTGCAATCATATAACTATAATAATGTTCGTTTTTTTGTCACAATCTTTTATCACTAGCGTAACATAGAAGGTACTATGAAGTCTATCAAAGAGAAAAAAGTTGACCTAGATCCAAAGGATGCTTCGATTAATCCTTAATGAGTTTACTTAATATTATCCTAAATTCTTAGGGCTTATAAGTGGAAATCAGAATTCAACGAAACCATGAGCGAGCCAACGTATACAGCAACATGGATTGCACCAGATTTCGAAATTTTGAAAAACAAAGACCCTGGCTTATTTAATAGCTCATGGTGCGAAATGATCCATCCATCGTCAAAATGGCGAAGACGGAACGTGTACAAGTCCAATAAGAAGACCGGTAGGAAATGCGACGGTATACTTTTCATAAAAAGTAGCGTAATAGAAAGATTAGTGTTCGAAAATGTTTGCTCCCCGAAAAAGGAGAAACGTCCAAAGTATTACAAGTGCGTTAAGAGATTTTATTTTCAGAAATGTCTAAATCACTTTCTAATAACCATATCTTGAAAATTTCAGAGATTTAAATAAGTCATTTCGTAATGCTGTCGATACTCTGTGCAAAAGATTCTGGACAAATAGGCAAGGAGATGTGGAAATCTCCAGGAAATATAGTGAATTAGTTTATATCGTGCACAGTTAAGTTTTCAGCTTTTTCCTTTGGAAATAGACCTTTAGTGTTGACTTACTTTCTAACCATAAATTAGAAAATCAAGGTGAACTCTAGAGGATATGCTTGGCCGGCAAAGACAAATTTCTTGCTGAAAGAATTTACAAGTTGGAAATACCTTGGAAATTTGAAGATGACTGGACGAAATTAGCGGATGTTTGTAAAATGTTGTTACTAATAGAAGTATGTATCATCATTATTCAAACCGAGACTTTAATGAGTCTTTTCTAATTGTGTTATTCCAGAATATTTTCAGGTGTAACGATGATTTTTATCATGATTATACGAAATCTGTTCAAAAAAAGAATATCGTGCGTCTAGCGGAATGGTTATCACTAAACCCAATCTCTCCACAAAAACCATAAAAAAAAAAGAAACTCGGAAATAAGATTTAAAGCTTCTGTTTTTTTCTTTCTATTTAGCTAGCTGTTGCATAAAAATATAGTATACTTTTTTTTATCGCTATATAAAAACCCGCTAGACAAGGATCAGTGTTCGGAATAGATTGCGAGCCTATGTGCCGGTCTCACGGCGGTCCCCTAGCCTGGCTTTTTATGTAGTTCTCAATTTTTTTTTCTTACTATAATCAGCTATGTAAAAACCCGCTAGACAAGGATCAGTGTTCGGAATAGATCGCGAGCCTATGTGCCGGTCTCACGGCGGTCCCCTAGCCTGGCTTTTTACATAGTTTGACTTTCCATTTTTTAGTACACTAAATCAAAGAAAATTCAATTTAGCAAATAGGAACATTCATGATTTTAGGGCTATAATGCGATTTATTTTCTGTATTAATAAACTGACATTTGCATTTACTTTGAGATGTTTTTTGTGAAAGTTATCGGCGTTCCGAAACGGAACGCGCACATGATCACATGATTGAATATTTAGAAAATATCCTATACAAAAAATGAATCTGATTTTAGTATAGTATAATCTTGGTAAAAGTAATTGGACTAGCAACTCAACTTATCAGAAGTTTTACCAACGTGGAATTTCTTTAATGCTACAGAAGAACAATATTTCTCAGCGTGTCTTAAATGAAGCTATCTTGTCAAGCAAGAACTGATTTTATTTATCGTTAATAATAGATTTGTTTTAGTTATATAGATATGAATCGTGTTTCATTATAGATAATATCCATTGATGCCAAAACCTGTTGCATTAATACAACGTAGTGCAAGTGCGCCTAAAATTACCCTAGATCTTCGGGGCAATAAATCAATCAATCACAGGAAGAATTAATTCTCAAGCTTAGCTTCGAAGAATTAGATTGATGAATACTGGATTCTGTCTCAGAAGACAAAAAAAAGATTCGACTATCACATATAACTGTGTATTACAAATATATTTTTTGCGCAATTCAATTGAGGCACAGATCGTCAAGTAAATGTATCGGGTAAAATATGATCTGCCTATTTTGGATTAGACCCTTCCTTGAAGCTTTCCTTGAAGCAACTATTTTTAATGAAGTATTTAGTGAAGTATTTCAGGAAGATCAATGAAGCGATCTTGGGGATTCTCAATTCCTAAATACTATTATAATTATGGCTTTGAAAATTTCTATGCGACAGTTATCCAGCAAACTTATAGGAATTACAAGAAAAGACCCAAATCTTTGGCAAAACGAGTTTGGGAGACGGTGAGAAATGATGGTACTCCCGATGATATGAAGTTTTTAGGTATAAAAAATAAATCGGAACAATTGGGATATATTTGTTATGGGGATGAGGGACGTTGTTAGAATTGCAAATTACTTGCGAAACTCCAAGAAAATCATGAAATAATTGTGAAACTCTTAAGAGAATCACAAATTAAGTTCCCTTTAAATTCAAATATATCAAATTAAACTTTCAGATTAATCTGAAATTTTTAGTTCAGTTTAGATTTTTACTAGTTTATGATTCAGTTTAGTTTTGGATTAATATTTTTAAGATTTATAATTTGAACTGAACTGAACTGAAATTTCAGATCAGTTTTAGATTGACCTATAATCTGAATTGAACTGAACCGTTTAGAGTATTACATTTAATAACAATATGCTTTAGTGAATTACATTTGTGATAGCATTTAGCATTTGCTAAATATTATTGTAATTTTTAATCATCAAAAGTGAAAGCACTCTTGGCAGTATTGTTATAATCAGCAACAAATTCAAAATAAAAGATAGCAAATAAATAGGGCTTATTATTGTTATAATGAGATATGTAGATAACTTTAGTTTTAGTGATGAGAATGATATCATTTAAATCATATACAGAAGTGTTAAAAGCTAAATTTTTCAGTTTGATCCTAAATTTATTACGTTATTTTACCTGTATAGAGGTAAGATTAGCTGAATAAACTCAGACACAGTTTTTAAAATGTAATATAACCATTGAGTATAGAATAATTTAATATTTTAGGATCTTAATATATTATAAAGATATACTACTAAAGTTTTCTAATACGTATTTAGACATTGACAATTTTTCTGTATTTGATAAAGAAGTTAGTAATAGTACTCTATTTGATACTGAGATGAATATCTGTGATACATAGAATTCTTTGTTAGAATTGCATATTTTCCTTATAGATCATGTAATTTTCTAAATATTAGATACCTAAATCAGAAAAGATTGTAGTAAGAGTGGATTTAGCTGAATCTAAATTATTAAAGTAGATAAAAATCAACTTAATCAGGTTAATATGACAGACTTTTATCTTTTTAAATATGTCATCTAAAGTAAAGTAGACGTTAAGACTGTTAAAATTAAGAGCTCTTTTGTAGTTTTATTGATAGTAGCAGTACATGTAAAAGGCATTTATTAACTTAGTGATAATAATGAACTTTCTGTTGTTTATTTTCATAGTGTTATCATTCTTAATAAAAAATATTTATCTTTGTCTAATATGTTAAAAGGAGAAGGTTTAAAAAAAATCTCTACAAGTTCAGCATCTGAAATTGAGAATAGGTTTAGTTATTCACTAATACTAGAAGTAGAGGTGACTAGTTGAGACTTTTTTTGTTGATTAGCAATAGAGTCAAAATGATAAGTATTTTTTCTAATAGATTGAGTTACATGTTTTTATCAGACTATATTTAATAAAGTAAACTTTTAGGTAAAAAACTCTTGTGAGTATTAAAATTGTATTAAAAGGGTATAAAATTATAAAATTAACTATCAGAGTTTGTAAAATATAACTGAAAAATAAAGTAAGACTTTTATATTTTCTAAAACTTTTTATGAAAAAGTAGGCAAAAAGAAAGAGTTTTATTATAGTTAATAATCTCATTTTTTTTATTGATTAATTTATTTAAAGTTTATGTAATAGTTAAATTAATCATTTTTAGCTAATTCTTAATGACCTTTTATATTATACAAATTCCTTACAGATCATTTTTGTTGTGTCATATAATCTTCATTTTTGCAAATTACTTGTATTATAGTAGATATATTAAATAATTAAAAATAAAAATATATAAGATTTTATTGAATAATTAAAAAAATAAAAAAAATAATTTAAAATTTGTAAGGGTATATTAAATAATTTAAAATAAAAAAATAATTCAAAATTTACAAAACATATAAATAATTAAAAAATAAAAAAATTAAAAAACAAATATTTGTAAGAGTATATAAAACAATTAAAAAATAAATATTTGTGAAAGTATATAAAATAATTAAAAAATAAAAAATTATTCAAAATTTATAAGAAAATTTTAAAAAATTAAAAAAATAATAAAATAAAAATTTGTGAAGTTATTAAATAATTAAAAAAAAACTAAATTCATAAAAATATTGAAAAATAAAAAATTAATTTAAAATTTATAAAGGTATATTGAATAATTAAAAAAAATAAAAAATTAATTTAAAATCCATGAGAATATATTTAAATTTATTAATATTTTATATTTTTTTTTTATCAGAATAGTTATTATAAAGCATTATTCAGATAGAATTAATAATAAAACTATATAAATAGTCAATTATTATTATAATAAATTCTATTTTCTAAACCTCAACTTTGCTATAAAGCTATAGTAAAGATTTTAAGAGATTTTATTGGCTAATTTGATATAATAAGAGTATTTTTATTATATTTATTCAAAAAATTTATTATAACAAGAATTCACTATATCAAGAATTAATTGTATTTATAAATTAATAATATTATAATTAAATATAAAGTTATTTTTATTTGTTATTATACTGTATATATATAATAAAATTGATTAATAATAATCAAAATAGAGTTGAATATTAAAAAATTATTTTAAGTTATAATTAGTTAAAAAAATTAAAATGCTTAAAATTTTTTTATATTTTTATTACTATTATATTTTTTATGAATATTATTTTTTAGTAATAATAATGTTATATTTTTTAGTGATAGTATTATATAATAAATATTAAAGCTCTGAACGGTTCAGATTAATCTGAAAATTTTCAGTTCAGATTAACTTCGGTTCGGTTTCGAATTGCAAAAAATTCAATCCGAAAATTTTCGGTTCAGTTCGGATTTTTTTCGGATTATAAATCTAATCTGAACTGAAAAAAATCTGAACTGAACCGAAAATTTCGGATTAATCCAAAAGTTCGGTTCGATATATTCGAATCTCGAAGGGAACTTAATGTGCGATTCTCTAAGAGAATCGCAAATTACTTGCGAAACTCCA